CATTTGCCTGTCTGATAACTATGAAATTGTATTCTGTCTTACTTTGATCTCATTGATCTCTAGGGAAATACGGCAAATTTTTACATATTTACTAGATATTTAAATACTCTCTCTTGTGAACTGTCCATTCATATTGTTTGCCCATTTTTTTCCTTCTGGGTTATCTTTTTCTCATGGATTTGAACAAATTGTTAACCCTTTTGTCATTTATATGCAAATATTTTCTCCCAATCAATGGCTTATCTTTTAACCTATTTTGTGGTATCTTTAAATGTTTGTAGCTTTAAAAAAAAACCCTTTATTTAAATTTATCAATCTTTTCTAGGTTATTCCTGGCCCTTTACTATTCCATACACATTTTAGGATCATCTTACCAAGTCAGTGAAAACCCTATTGGTATTCTGATTAAAAATAGGCTGAATTCATTAATTAATATGGGAGAAATTGTCATTTTCATAATTTAGTATTCTTTTAAACTATTTTAAGTCTATTTGGGTTTTCTGTTTATTCTTGATTTAATATTGATAATTTACATTTTAAACAAAATTGTCAACTCATCTATGTTTAGAAAAGTATTCTCAAAAGCATCTCAAAAGCGTATCTCCTGTGTATGTAGTAATATCTTCATTTTAACTGTTGATATTTTTATTTATGACTTCTCTTTTTCACGGTCCTTCCTGTAATAGGTTTGTCTGTATTATTAGTCTTAAAAGAAGAAGCTTCTGTTTTAATTGATCCTTTACATTATCTCCTTGTTTTGTATTTCATTAAATATTTGCTCTCCTCTTTTTAATTTTTTCTTACAATAAAAAAAGATGGAAAAAAAAGAGTAATTGTTGAATAGAACATTCAGCCAGCCTCTCAATTTTCTTCCTTCATTTCTGCTGTATACATTTAATTTCTTGCAAAACTATTTTTGCTGCACTGTGCAAGTTCTGAAATACAGTAATTTAGTTGTCGCTCAATTCTAAATATTTTATAATTTATTGTAATTCATTTTTTTGAGGCATGACTTATGTAGAAGTGTTTTTAGTTTCCAAACACATGGGTTAGGGGTTTTTTTCTTTTAATATTTTTACAGTTGATTAGTAACTTTCTTATACTGTAGACAGAGAATGTAGTCTGCATTACCTCATCTCTTTGGGACTTTTTTCCCAACTCTTTTTGTGGAGCCTAATATATACTCAATTTTTGGAAGTGTACTATAAAAAATGTACTACAAAAAATTATATATTCTCTAATTATATATGTCTATTAGATTAAGCTTGTAAATTTTGTTCCTATCTTCTCAAAATATTTTCCAAATAATTCTTTACATACAGTAAAGGATCCTGAAAGAAGCATCTTAAATCCCAGTCATCAAATCAACTGTCATTAAATATCAGCTAATACTAGATCTGAAAGGAAATTCACATGTATTTGCACAAGGCACACTCACGTATGCACACACATACACAAACATACGTTCTTTGTTCCCTATAAATGCTCTAAACATCATTCCTTGAAATAAAGTTCTAATTTCTAGTCACACAGACCTCAAAAATTGGGATGAGTCCCATATTTTTTGGCTATAAAGTTAGGTAAAGGTAAAAAAAAATGACACAATGTCCAAAAAAATGTAATTGGGTGGTCCTGTGGTGGGACTATTACAGAGTGCTGCTCCTGCTGCCGGGGCCACACGCTGAGCCCAGACACCTGGAGCATCAGGGCAGTGAGGCTGCCTCTGTCTACGGATCCCGAGTGTGTTCAGATCTAAGGAACAAACCTTGTTTTTGACACAGCCATGCCTTTCATGACTGTATATAACTCAGACATCTATATTTATAAAGAAAATCCAAAAATTCTTTTTGACCCTTTCAGTTCCTTCTATCTTCCTCAGATCAATTATCTTTCTTATGATCTCTAAGTAGGACAAACTACTTCTGGAGCTATTGTCTATTTTGTTTCTAAAATGCTTCCAAATAATAGTCATCAGGTTGTTGGCTTTTATTTTAAATTTTTTGGTTACGGTCACACTATTTTTCCCAGCTGATCTGTACATGTTGCTGGGTAACTACGTAATTATTTGTGGGGGTGTTTTCAGTGCTACCACAGTTAACTGTGCTTTGATTCACATGGGCTCACCAGAATATGCTTCCCACAATAGTCCTAATAATCACTCAAAAGTCTAGTCTTTTAAAAGTATCCAATTACCAAAGCAAAATTACTTTATCCTAAAATCTCACCTAATCAACTCATCCTGAATATTCTGTCAATACACATCTAGAAAGTGAAAACTTCTATTACTATCTGGCCTTGTTTTAACCATTACTTCAGACTCATTTAACATCTACACATCTGTCTTAAGATAATACTACCCAAGTAGATAAACTTGTTAGAATGAGTTCACTCATTCCCAGCCCACTAATAAACCTTGGGGATACAATTTGTTCCATACAGGCTCAGGATGCATGTGGTCTGAACATCACCAAGTCTGACGGATGACTTCAATGTTGTACGTTATTCTGAGCAAGCAAAGGACAAGCAAGAGCTGACAGCTCTTTGGAGTCAGAGTAACATTCAGTACATTGCAAAATAGAGAGATCTGGGAATATATACCTCAGCAATTCTGATTTAAACATCTCAATGTGGTTCTCAAGAGATAAAATGCCAAGTCAAAAAGCTTTGACTACAAAGAATTTCATTATTACAAGATGATAAAATCTTCTTGAGAAAGTGTTACCTAATCCAGGCTCCTGAATCATGCATGACACTGCTAATGGCGCAAATCCTTGACTTACAAATTTTTAATGGCGAAATCGCATGTATGGTAAGTTCCACTAGAGCTGATGAAGAGGGAACTGCTCTCTCTGCATTTTGATTTTCTACTATAGTTTTCTCAGTGAAAAATCAGTACAGCACCTTCTTCGTTATTATGAAACACAACAAAGCTACCAAACCATGTAATTAAAGCTGGTTGTTAATGTTTCTGAATTCTAATCTTGTTCCCCATATCTAACTATCTTGATCATATTCTCCAACCATTTTTTTCCCAAGAGGATTTTTCCTACCAATATGATAGGAAACAATTTTTTTAAAAAAAGATGTAGGCTAGAAACTTTAATCTTGCAGATAATTTTAGGACAAGCATCAATTATATCGATCTATAAATGTACAGCTAAAATAAATGGAACTGTCTTAACCCATGATTAGTGAGAAACTACTTTAACAAAGGTAAAAAGTTTTTGTTTTCCTGAAAGAATGAATAATCAATATTGATAAGAACTAAGTTCAGAATGTAATCTACATAGATATAAAACTGAACACTTGGCTAAAATACACTGATATTGTAACTGTGTTACTATCACAACTTCCCTGCATCTTTCCTTACCTCCTTATGGCCTGTTCTCACCAATGCAGCCAGTGTGATCTCGCTGAAGTCTAAGTCAGAACATCCTTGGCTCAAAACCCACCAGTGGTTCCATCTTACTCAGAATAAGAAGTGAAATTCTTAAAATGGTCTTTCCAGGGTATTTTACAGGGTCTTTCATAATAATTTGCCCCTACTTCCACCCCCACATCCACACATCTCCTCCATTCTCCTCTCGACTCTTTTCTATTCCATTAGCCACTGTGGTTCCTCGGGTATTTCCTGGCACATCAAGAACTATCAGGTATCCACTTACCTCATGGCCTCTGGGCTGTGGCCTGGAATGATCTTCATTCAGATAGTCACTTGGCTCAGTCCCTTACCTTCCACAAATCTTGACTCCGGCCAATCCTCTCCTCAGGGAGGCTGTCCCTGACAACAACTCCCATCCCACTCCTGGCACCTTACCCCTCTCCCCGGCTCATTTTTCATTGTAGCATTCCCCATGGCATTTGTAAGATTAAACGATGCTTCGGACATTTGCACCTTACCGATTCAACTAATGATCTTGCTTCCTCTTCAGAGCAATGGAAAGGACTGTCACATATCTGTACGTTTGTGCTGGAGAGGAAAAGAAATGTTGTTATCAAATGGGATAAAAAAGGAGCAATTACCAAAAAGAAAAGTAACTCTCAGATACTTTACATTTGAGCATATGATTCCAGCCAACAGTTACTGAGTCTGGATCTCACTTGGTAATAACACACACACATTCACACACAAACATACACACTCCCTCTCACTCAAAAGGAGACAGAAGACCTTCTAATGCAGAATGCTAAAGCATGACTAGGAATTTGATTAAGATACCTTGAAAAAAGACCTGAATGAATGAATGGATATAAATTAGGACAAGTGAGATTCTTGTACATTCTTTCCGGCAAGGTTATAAATATAAAGTGCTCCACAACACCGCACTCTCCAGAATTAAAAAAAAATCAAATGATAGTATACAAATTTAAATAATCCCCTGGTATATCTAAAAGGCTATTATACTACACTTTTTTTTTAAACTGGTACTTAAAGTTGTTTTATTTTTTTAACATTTCTTATTGATTTATAATCATTTTACAATGTTGTGTCAAATTCCAGTGTTCAGCACAATTTTTCAGTCATTCATGGACATATACACACTCCTTGTCACATTTTTTTCTCTGTGAGTTATCATAATATTTTGTGTATATTT